TTCTACATTTGAATCACGCAATAATCGTATACGCAGGATCCCTAGGGATGGTTATATAGTTGTTTTATCATGTTTTATCATGTAGATCAATGTACATATGTGCAAATATGCAGTTAGAATCCCTATACTGCAAAAAATATTAACTCAATGGTAAGCCACGTGTGGATATATAGCCTAGTCACGATTCGATCCACCATTGATTTAACACCCTCTACCGAACAACCATGGCTTTTACTAAGGATTTTACATATATAAAAGCCCAGTCAAAGCCATTTCAACCTTTTCTTATATTATAAGAAGGCTAGGGCACGGCACATTGTATAATATATATTACAATATCATATATACTATGTTTATTAATATATATATGTAAATACTATACATACATTCGCTCCCCAGTCTCTGGCACAAAGAGCACACCAAAGCCGAGGCCCTCCGCATTCATCCCAACTGTGAGACGTACAACGCAGCGCTCACCGCAGCCGCGCCGCTCGGAGTCTCAACAAGTTCCGAACATGAGTACTGTTGATGTTGTTGATGTTTGTTTCTATTTGTACTGTTGATGTTTACCATTGTTTACCTGTTGATGTTTGTTTTCACCATGTTTACTTTAAAAAAAAGGCCGGGGCGGATCGTCATCGTCACTCGCTCCGAACCGGTGGATCGTCCGACGGTGGCGCCGTGGCGACAGAAACACAGTCTGACGAAGCAACGAACACATGTTCAAGTCCAGCAGCATGCAGCTTGTTCAAGTCCAGCATCGATTTACCCATTGCCATGCAGCATGCAGAAGATGTGGGAATCAATTTTACGAACCTGGTCTTTGGTCAAGGATCTGAGCAACAGTCGTTGTAACATTGTAGGTCTCATTAGAATTGTTCATAATGTTTTGACCATCATCATTCGCTGGATCTGTGGCAAGAGAAGGCTCAAGGTCTTCAACAAAAATACCTGGAACCTGGAGTCTCAAAGTACCTCGGAACATTGATACGGTCCTATTTTGTTGGGCATGTTGAAGTGCTTCTCACTTCTCCTAGATTTAGATTTTCTACAATGTGGTCACTGCCATAAGGAATTGATCACCTAAAACCTAGCGAAGAAGAGAATTCCAGGGCCTTCGAAGTGTGCCGTCGAGCGAAGTCCAAGGACAGGCGAGCTTTGGCAACTGGCCCTTCACTACTTTCAGGTGATGGACGCTATACATGTTCATTGAGCAGTTCTTTCTTTTTTGTGGCGGCCTCATGGTGTGACAAATCCCCAATAGTCGAGTCAGTCAAGAGTTGGAAGAGCACCTTGAGAAGCCCTGGAGAGTATAAGTTTGTATACTATCTGATCTTCCACTTGTGGTGGGGCTGCATAAATTTCCACACACCCCTCGGATGTGCTTGGATTTGGCCAAGTCGTGCTCCGTTCCACACAGCAAAAGAATTCCAGATGAAGCTGATGGGGTTGGCAAACTGGGTTCAACTGGTGTTTTTGCATGTTGTGTTGTTTTCCCCCCTGGGGCTTATGTGCCCAGACCGTGAGTGAGTTACTGTGCGCTTGTACATTTTTACTTTAAGGTGTGGAAGAAGGTCAACCTGTGTTTGCCACAGCGAAACTGAAGGCCGCAATGGAACGTCTCATGTACTTCCTTTCCAAAACTGAGGAAGATTCGCCCTCCATGAGCCCTGATGAGCGCAGCTACACTCTAGCCATCAATGCTTGCAGGACAGTCTGGGGCTGTAGCCACTGTGATGGAATCACCAGACGGATCTATATAATGATCTATATATTTCATTTGGTTGTTTGGGAACACCTCGGACAAGCAATCTCCAATAGAGGGTTAGACCATTGATAAGATATTTCAATATCCTGGACCCTCCACTGTACCCTAAGAATGGAACATGACCCGAAAGCATCCTAGGGTACTCTGGACATTCCAGGTATATGTTTGTTGTTCCCGGTCCCAGTGCATGCCCCGGCACCCTGACCCAAAGATGGACCCCCAAATTCCTTGCTAGGTCTAGTCACTGGCAGTTCAGCTGGGTGAAAAAAGAGTCACGGCGGAAGGAGATTCTTTCTACAAAGATCTTGAGCAATGAATTCTTTAGATCACAAGCCGTTTTGTTTGGCTCAAAGCGAGCCACACTGTCGCTATGGAAACATGCACATTATACATATGATCACTGCTCCGACTGCTCCCTTAGCGGCTACTGGGGATTCTTAAGGGGTGTCTATTGGTTTCACCCCTTGGGGCGTCGTAGAGATCTGCCAAACATAGAGTGCTTCTGGGTACAAACAGAATCCCAAAAGCTGCTTCAAATCGTTTACTTCGCAGCTTTGGAAGCATCCATTTCACCTGAAAAGTCCTTCACCTTTGCCCTGCTACCAGTGGTTTTGGTGCAACAGCTGTGGAATGTGAGGGGGACTTTAGGACAAGTGTTTGGAAATGTGTTTCTGCAGCGCTACCATGTGTTTCTTCCAAGAGACCATGATTGGACTCTTTGGACTTGAATTCCAAGAATCCCTTGCATTCCAGTGTTCAGTGACTTTGCTTGAAGCCTTCACTGTTGAGCCTCACCCTTCGGTGGGGGAAAGAAACACTTCAACGTGACGGTCACCTAGGACTCTGAAGGAGGACTCTAGGACTCTGAAGGTCGGGGAACGGTCAGGAACGGTCACGGTCGGGAAGCCTTGTGGAAGATCCAGCTTTGATGTTTACACCAGGTGAGACCGTCGGAAATTCCTGACCCACCCGGTGACTCGGGTCAAAAGTTCAGGTTCCCTGACTGCTGACGGAGATTCCTTTTTCACGGGTCACCAAGTCAGGGCAGTTTACGAATAGGAAAGACAATAGAACCTGATGGTCGCGAGCCCTAGGAGTCAGCCAGAGCATGCAAGACGTCTCTTCGATTGTCTCAACCACCAAGGCCTCGTTGAGACTTTGAGGCCGGAGAGTTGTCAGGACTTGAGCCAGTAAGTTCGAAGAATGGAGGGACAGTGTACTCTGGAGAACATATTCTGTACATATTTACTAGTATAAATATAGTATGCAGATGCATGCAGAATAATATAGATGCCAGAATGTTCTATACATGCAAGTCTATCCATGTACACGGAGCATTGAGTATGTATGGTTAAAGAATGGACAGGACAGAGTTCCTGCCATTTCCTGCCTGGTTGAGGTGTCTTCATGTATAAAGTACATAATCAGATCAAGTCCTCTTGGTGACCGGGCTGGAGTGAAGAAGAACAAAAATCGGACAAAAGCCTGCACATGATACCCAGGGGATCCAGTTGCCAAACACTATATATATATATAGTATATAGATGTGCTTCCAGTTTGAATTTGACCTCAACCATCGACCGGTTCCGAAACAGGCCAGGCCTGGTTCCGAAAACTCTGCCCTGGGATTCACCAGGGCATTGCGCTTTCTTTCCGATCCATGCCGGGCATTGAATTTCTGTAAAGGAACGAAGCAACCATATATTGACAGCAGCCTGGGTTTGTCTTCGTTCGTACCCTCGAACATGGGACGCGACGTAAATAAACAACATAATCATATACTAGATACTCGTATCAAAGGTCGACTCCATCCTTAGAGCTTTCACTTCGTATCTCAGAAATGGGGCCCCAATCAACATGTTAGCTTGGTTTTGGGTCATGTACCATTTTTGAAGGGTATGACCGAAGTCGACTCCAGGTCCCTTGATCCTGTTCCCACCGAAGGACTCCACAGGCCCTTTGCACCCTCGGATCCAGGTACGCCTGATGTTTCGCACCCACGCAGAGTCCGAGCAGTGCGGAGCAGCGCAGCGGCTTTGTAGAGCAACATTTTAAAGGTTTTTCGTTCATTGGGAGAAGTTGAGGCAGGACACTTGAGTCCGGGTTGATTTCTACAGAATCCAAGGTTGTTTCGAGGTGAAACCAGGCAACCCCGTGCCACCACCACAGCAAGCTTTCAGCGAATGGAAGAACATTTGGTCGGCCATCAGCGCAGTCCTGCTGAGCAGCACCAATGCTGTGGAATCAAATGTTGTTTGGTTCGCGACGCACGCTACTACTGCTGGGAAACCCACACCTGCTGCAAACAGAGCCATGTACACAACACAGCAAGCGTTGGAGCTGGGTGTGACAAAGAAAGAAGCTTGCCTTGGCACGCAAGGGAGATGGCTCCTGCATCTGACAGGGCTTCACAGCGAAGAGTGCTGGAGAATGAAGTGGCCACAAATCCAGCACTCTTCGCTGTGGAGATCTGTGGAGACATTGTCAGCTGCGCAGAGATCGCTCAGATCCTCCACGATGGACACATTGAACGCAACTTGGCGTTGTACGACATGGCTCATGCACAGACTGATCTTGAGCGTTCAGCCATCTCCCCAAGCACACAGACTTGGTGCAACATTCAGTTGGCAAGTGGTGCAGCATGGGTGACTGAATTGATTGAGCTGCCCTCAAGAGAACAGGCTGAGCAGCACCTTCGATCACAATTGCAAGGAGTTGGAATGCAGAGTTTCTGTTATGTGCTGCCTCATGTGGCCATGTACTTTCAGTACTTGGAGGGATGCGACTTCACTCCTTCCAATGCACCTGATCCAGAGAGAGCGCAACAACAACTCCTGGGTCCCGCAGGTGAGTTAAATGTATAAAAAAGGCTGTGTGCGCAGGTGAGTTAGGTGAGTCAAATCTTGTGTGCGCAAG